TATATATATATATACATATATATATATATATATATATATATTGATATTGTAAAAAAATCTATATTACATGATATAATATCATATTCGTAGTAAAATTTTCTTACTATTTCACTGAAATTATTATGTATGTTTTATCAATCATTATATCAAATTACTGAAATTATCGACTAAATTATATCCTAAATCATTGCCAATATCCTGACGTCTATTTTTCATTGTATAGATGATAAACTATATATACTACCTAATCTTATACTATTATTTGGGGAGTACACTTTATAAGATACCCTTAACTAACCTTCCCTTTTGTAAGAATTTACTTAAGAATGCCATTACAAAAATATTCTTTTAGAACAAATTTCATTCAATTTATTAAGGATAAACAAGTAAAATACTAATTTATGTCATTTAATTAATTTAATTAAATTATAAAACGAAAATCTGTTATTTTTTTTTTTTAAATGACCAATTAAAATGAACATATAAGATTTGATATCTAACTTACCATATTAATTTGTTATTAATCATTAAACTTCACCTCTCATCTTAATATGATTATATTAATATGAAACAAATAAATAATCATATCATCTACATAATAAAAAAAAGTAATTTTTTTCTGCATATGCCAAGATTTGAATTTTTAAAAACGCATATAAATTGTTCAATCTATAAAGGAAACAATTAAACGGGTCAAAAATTCAGAGTTGAGTAATATATTTCTTTTACACAAAAATAAAGTCAACAAAAATTCCGACTAAGCAACTGGTCAGAATTTGAATATTTATATTCGATTTCATACATTTATTTTTTTGAAATGTATAATTTTATATACTACAATAAAAATTTAAATATTTTAATTTGCAACATTTAAAATAAGTTTTACTTGATATTTTTAGAGAATATCATCAATACTTAATAGTTCAAAAAGTTAAAAATTATAAATACTCTAATTTGATTATTTTTAAAAATATTTATAATAGGTAGCGGGTTGGCGGGTTTTTTCAACCTCAACTATTTGTTGGCGGGTTTTTTCAACCTAAACTATGACCCCCAGTAAATTTTAACCCAAACCCAAAAATAATTCAAAATCAAAACATAAACTAATGTAAATGAGCCGATTTCAACACGACGCGAAACAATGTTAGTTCGGAAGTTAACAGTTCTCAAGGTTATTTGATTTTATTTTCAAGGTTTGATGAATGCTGTAGAGAGAGAATTACCCAAGGTTGAGCAACCGTTAACTTCCGAACTAACACCGTTTCGCGTCGTGTTGAAATCGGCTCATTTGCATTAGTTCAGGTTTCGATTTTGAATTATTTTTGGGTTTGGGTTGAAATCGACTAGGGGTCATAGTTTGGGCTGGAAAAACCCGCCAGCAAATATTTGAGGTTCGAAAAGGCCGTTTTTAAATATAATATATTATACGATGAAATGAGTTTTGATCCTTATAACTATTTGAATAGTTATATTTAATTTCATATAATTTGTTTTTTGAAATTCATAATTTTATAAACTACAAAAAAAATTTAAAGATTTTAATTTGGAATATTTAAAAATAGTGTAGAACATTTAATTATGGTTTGACACCTCTAAATATTTGAAAATTTGATTCCGCAAGCAATTCTAGAATTAACGAATAATAGATTGTGCACGCAATATTTTAAAATGAAATATTGAGATTCTAAAATAAAAAAATAGACTCCACGCATGGGTTGATTTTGGTATTATTATATACTAAATATATGTTTATAACATATTCGATTATGCGAATAATTGGTAAATTCCGTAATTATAAATCTCAAACAAATTCTGTAATTAGATTAGCTCAAACAAATCTCTATTTCAATAACCAAAGAATTATAAATTGAAAAAGAATTTTCTAAATTAATTCAAAATAATAGCTAATTTTCTTAATTAATTTAAAATAATCAATGTTTTATATGCGATTCATTTATGATATTTTAATTTTTGATCTAACAGAAATATATGCCATCCTATTTTGTGGTTGTTAACATAAATTAACTCATTGTTCAAAAAATATTACTTTTTAAAAAATAAAATTATTATCCGTTTTCATATCTTAAAAAAATAATTATCCATAATTGAGTATTATAGAAAAAATTCTATATTTATTCTAATATTGTATATAGGGACTGACAAAAAAAATTAATATTTTTACACTTACTATTATAATATATTAAAACTTAGTTCTTATATATATATTATATAAAATTTGTAATAAATAAAATTCAACCCGTACTTTAGTACGGGTGATGATCTAGTTAAAGTGTTATAATAATAATTAATCTTTTTAAGAGATGGAGAATTAAATTAAACATTTTCATGTATATATATTGTTATCATGTGGAACTTGATGAGATTTGTATGCGTAGAAATGCATATGATATGGATAATATTATTTCATTGGATATTCATCATATTTTACAACAAAATTTATTAAATTTACATCTCTATCGTGTTAAAAAATTTCTGCCGCCACCACTAAGAGGGGAGTGCACTCAATGCCCTACATTGTAAACAAAGACAAATGAAATCATCTATTTAGTAATTATTTATTTTATCTTTGGCTTTAATTTTTGCACAGAAAAAAAAAATTGTTGGCTTAGATCATCATTCATCAACATCCACTATTACCAAAGAAAATTAAAAAACCCTGAATATTTCTTCCTTACCCACCCATTGTAGTTTTTTTCTTAATATTTACCCCTCTATATTATCTTTTTGAGTGTACCTGAATCAACAACGGTCAACGAAAATGTTAAAACCCACACTCGGTAAAAAAAGGTACTGTTTTCTCGAAGGACAAAATTACTGCCGACCAAAGAAAAAGTAAAATAAAGAATCTAACCCACTTAGTTTTATTTCTGCTCTATTCAATACGTTAATTAAGTCAATTGGTAAGATTCTCGTATGTATCGGGATCAATATGAATCCATACTTAAAATTCCTCGCTTACCAAGAAGAAAAATACAGAATAAGAAACATGCTTCATTGGTGGAACCTATTCGAACCCCACTTTATCATCGTAAGCACTTTAAACTTAGTTGATGAAATGGACCACACTACCCAAAAATATCAACTTTACATAAGCATACGTTATCAAGAGGGCAAGTTGGTTTATATGTATAAATGTGTATGTGAGATAGTGATGGATAGAGAAAGTTTGGGGAAGCTATATAGCTTGAATGGGCAAGTAGCGAGATAACTAAGTTTGTATAGAGTGTTCGGTTTTCTTGTTATAGATTAGGCTATGTATATATATATATGCCGTAAGTCCGTAACGGTCCATATTTTTTCTGTGCAAAAATAATATATGACGTATAGATTTATTTTAGGCAGACCCGAATTCGACTTCTTTTGGGATCACAAGAAATGAAGTTTCGTGAATAACGAAAACAAAGAGTAAAATTTACCAAATTCAAGCGTAAGAGACCAAATTATACCCACGTTATGAAATCTAAATTTTGGATAAGTTTAATTACGTATCGATCTTGTGCGCTTGGTTTGACTTATTATAAGCTAGATTCGTATAATCGTATCAAATGGTGTAAGAATCAACACCATGCATGTTGAATTGTTGATGATATCCGACATTAATTAAAGCTATCTAGAAACGAGAGACTTAAACAAACCAGAATAAACCGACACGTAAGCATAATTTGAAGTGGCATGTAAATTCAGTTTCTGCTTCATAAGCTTTGAGCAACAGTTCAGAACTACACAAATCTCAACTCTGATACCATATTACGAAGAAGAAGAAGATGAGAAAAGCTTGTTACAGATATTTTCAAATTTTGATTTTCTCATTATTGATTAATGATTACAGTACAAGTGTATTTATATTATACAACTATACATCTACACAATTGGTTAAGTTAAACCGAATAACTAAACCTACTAAACCAAGATAAATAATCTGATAGGAAACTTAAGTAAATGCATGCAAACAAATGAGGGTATTGTAATGCAAATCTCTAGGCCAGTGAAAATCTATAAGGTATTGCGTTTTTACTAATCACTTTTACAAAACTAATGATAACATGTCGTATAGTGATAAATTGGGTTTTGTGGATTTCCAACTAACGAAACATTGGTATAGGAAAGTGAGACTTGCGGGCGCATGTTAGCAATTAAGAGAAAGGGAAATATTCAATGGAACAATGATTATAGAAATCAAGTTGTGGTTCGAATTTAGAAGTGTCATCCACTTAAAGGGAAAATTCCCAAAAAAAACCCCAACTATTTAATATTTGCCAGAAAAAAACCTGAACTTTTTTCGATGCCGGAAAAAAACTCCAACTAATTTACCGCTGAAAAAAAAAACACAAACTATTTTGTTTTTCCAATTTCCTCTCGTCTCCGTTACGGACGTTAACGCCGTCGTTACTATTTTTAGAAAAATTCCTTAAAAAAACCAAATATGGACTCCTTTTGTGGTCCTCCTAGTTGTTATTAATTAGTTATGGAGTAGTTTAGACATCCGTTGACGTATACAATTCCATACACATATTCATGATTGTATATGTGTATATATGACGTCTCTTCCCAAGAAAACAAAGAGACACTCTGCTCTATCTCGAAAACAAACGTCAAGAAGCTTTGTGTATGGAATTGTATACGTCTAGACGGAACGTTCATTTTCATTTCCAATTCGTCGTCCGGTTTTTGTCTTGATGGGGTGAAAGTGATTGAGCCAGATGTCTATGTCGATTCGGTGATGGCCATCCATTAAATGAGAACTAATCTTAGACAACGTGGACTTCACATTAAGACCAAAGATATGATATGTACACAGAAGAAAAGATTTGGGGAGACAAAAGAAAATACAAGACACTGAGAAGACGAAGCTTTCGAAAGTAAACAAAACTTTCGATAATTGCTCGAAAATCTCTGTGGTTGGCTTAACCCTTAATATGCACCAACATTCTCACATCACACTGTACTTAATCAAATATTTTAGCTATCTCTATATATATATTTAGTTGGCACATTTATATGTCTATATCATATATACTAGATGAGAAATTGAAAGATCAAAAGCAAAGCTTTAGAAGCAGTAAGAGCCTTAGAGACAAAAGTGCAAAATTGGCTGGATTTTTGTACAGATCATTTGCTTGGAGATGCAAACCTTGACTTCTCTCTATGTCGGCTCAAGCTTCTATCTCTCGGGGATGATCCCATCCCTGCTTGCCGTGTAATCTCTGCAACAACATTTGAGTTTGAGTATGTATGATGTGTGGTCTATTAATGAGCAAACCACAAAAATGACGAAGAATTCATGAAAAATGCAGTTACCTCTTCGCTTTCTTTCAAGTTCTTGATCAAGCTCTTCCTTCCACTTCCTCTCTATCTCTGACAGAGAGGCACTGCAAAGCCAAAAAACAACACAATTCCAGATGATTAAAGAAAAGGAGATAAGAACTCAAGGTAAATGTCACCATTGAACCAATTGCTAGCAATGGAAGGGTCATCATATCTTAAGACATGCAATCACCGGACTACAGTTTTGGTTTCTATTAATGTTAACGAATAAATGAAGGAACTGAATCTAAATCGTTAAAGTTAAACCTTAATTCTGAAGCAGAACAATAGCTGCTGTTGAACTTACCTCTGGCTGTTTGATTCTTGTTCTGCACCAGCACTTGCATTGCTATTATTCGGCACACCAGAGCTACTACCACTCTCTGGGCTCTTGGAACAACAGGCTGCATCTGTTCTTCTAGAAGGTGAACGACCAATATGGCCCTGAATCGGAGACCTACTTTTTGGAGGCAGTTTCAAGAAACCACGAGGTGCCTCCTCTCGTTTATTGTTATTGATGTTACTCTCCATGCAGATGGGAGAGCATGTGATCATACCGTTGTAGAATTCTTCATAGAGGGGCGTCTGTAACTTCTTTAAATCTGCAGCCTATGGTTAAGACAGTTTACCACCAAGTCAATGTTTGCAAACTCTGAGTGGATATAATTGCAGTGAGGAAACAGACCATCATCAATGACTCACCTTTTCATCTAAGAAAGCTTTGATTTTTGACTCGGTCAGCTCATTTTCATCCTCTGAGTACGATGGATGGTCAACTTCCATACTAATTTTCGTCTCTGTTTCTCCATTTCCAGAATTTTCGTCAAATTTGCACTTCAAAATATCAGAGATCTCACTCATGGTATCACAGCTCTGTGTTGAAATAATATGAAACCGAAATTGATTTAATTATTCGGAAAATCATCTGAAATTTATATGAGAAAGGTTAATCTCACACAAGCTTACCTTCTCGGCATCAGTATTATTGTCAAGACTAGGGCAAGTTTTTCCATTATATGTCAAGAAATCCTCATCGTCAATCAAACACATATCATTATCATCATCATCCTCATCATACCCGTTATTACCTTTCAGACACAAACTGTTATTTTGGATTGAATTCTCAGGGAAAGCAAGTGTACAAGTCAGACTACCCAAGTTACAGATGTCTCCTACATCTTCACTTGTAGACATTTGACTGTTATAAAAAGAAACAAACGATCAGCAGTCAAAAATTCAGCTTAAAAGTTTTGGCTTCAGCTCAGCACTTACTAGCTCTTAATGTTAGTCAACTCTGATGTTAAAGGACTGCATGAATTTTCCTGAAAATATGTACACAAAGAGATGTCCTATCAAAATTCCTTACGAAAAAACTAAAATGATAAGTCTATAGATTGGATAATGTGAACTCACCATGACTGAAGCAAGATCTATAGAAGCAGATTCCTTCTGTTTGCCCGTAACAAATGGATGCTGCCAATAAAAGAAAAGCAAGAACATTATGACTAGATGAATTAAAATATGTGACCTGATTGGATTTCATTTACTCTGTTGACTACTTCACCTTTAGCAGCTCAGAAGCGGTTGGCCGCAGATTTGGTTCCCTGCCAAGACAGGACATGATGTTTCAGCAATCCACAAGACAACAAGCAAGAGAAGTGATAGAAGTTAATTCGATTTCTAATCTACAATTTGAGTCAAAAGTAGCGTACTGCTGCAGACACTTGAGCAAAAAATCTTTTGCATCAGAGGAGATATTGTCAGGGATTGGAGGATGCGACTTCGTCGTTCCAATGTGAAAAATAGCAGCAATCTGAAAAATATATATCCACAGAAGTTCAAGAACCAGATTCTGTGAATAACATTGAATACAAAGTTAAGTACCTCTTTATACTGCTGGCTCCAAGGAGCTTTGCCAGTTACCATTTCAATCACTGTGCAACCTACGCTCCAAATATCAGCAGAACTGCATATAATAGGCACGTAATATGAAATTGACTACAGAGCATGTAACCTCGCAATTACAAACATGTTTGAAGTAATGCTTACAAGCTATGCCCAGTTTGAAGAATAACTTCTGGAGCCATCCAATAGGGAGTCCCTTTCATAGATTTGGCACCCGAAATAGTAGCCTAGAGATAAATGTATTTCTATTAGAATTAAATCATGATGAAGAATATGTTATAAGAACAACTGAGTAAGACTAGAAAACTCAGAGCAGAATGTTTTTAATGAAATAAAAGTTGAAGACTGAAAATTGACTTACCAACTCAGCTACCTGTTTGGATGCACCAAAATCAGCAAGTTTAATGCATCCTTGATTATCCACAAGGATATTAGCACCCTGAGAACAGAAGAACCTCGAATGAGAAGGCAAGGATATGAGAAATATTAAACACTTCATAGTAAGTTCAAAAATAGATACCTTAATGTCACGGTGCATAATCGCATGATTGTGAAGGTACTCCAAGCCTAAAAGCAGTTGCTTTGTGTATGTCCGAACAACCTGAGCCAATCAGTTTAAAGACATTACGATCATCAACATTTAAGGAAACCCAATAGGGGTTTATGTAGTGATGACTTACAGATTCAGGAAAGGATCCAAATTTCTCCAAAAGTGAAGATATAGATCCACCAGGAACAAATTCAAGCAAGATATTCAATGTTTCATCTTCCCTCACCGTACCCAAATACCTCTAAGGCCAAAACAAAATGCCAAAGTTAGAAAAAAAAAAAAAATCCTGCTTAATCTATCACCATTGCAAGAAGATAATAACGTTTTTCCTTACAACTATATTTGCATGGGAGAGATTCTTGAGTAGCTTCACTTCCTCTTCAAGCTCCTGAATATGAGCCTTTTATGCACCAAAATAAGAAAGTTATGTAATGTAAAAACAAAATATCAACAAGAAACAGATAGGTTTGTTTACGAACCTGAGTTTTTTCCTTGGATGCACAATTAGATGCAATCAAAACCTGAGAAAGAAACAACTACAATCAGCTCATGATAGAATCAAATCACAACAAAGCCACAAAAAGATTCAAAAACCTAAGAGCTTAAAACCCTAAATTCCAAAATCTGACCATAATCAATCTGAAACCAATTACAGTGACAACCGAAACAAAGTAGAAATCTGTGATTAAGCTTATAGATTCCATTAATTAATAAGAACCATTAAAGTGACACTAATTTCAAAATCAAAATCCGAGACGAGTAAAGCAAAACTAACCTGTTTAACGGCGAGAAGTTCACCGGAATCGAGATTCATCCCCATATACACAGTACCAAAAGCACCACGGCCAATTAACTGACCTTTCCGCCACCGAATCGGAGGTTTCATTTGTACGGTGGAGTTACTCGGAGGTGATTGGGATTTGGCGAAAACCATGGATTTACGGATACACGAAGTGATTTTATCGGCGAGAAGAGTAGGAAACGGAGGAGGATGATTCTCTTGGTTCTCATCGTCGGCGGTAGAACGGAAAACTAGTGACCGGCGAACTGATCCGAAGAGATCTTGCATTTGAAATGGTTGCGAAGGATTCTTCTTCACTGTTGTTAGAATTTCAGATTTCTATGACGACGATGAGAGCGTTGGGGAGGATTTGGAAAAGGGGGAGAAGATTCCATTTTCAAAATTTTAATAATTTTGAAATATTGAAGGTTTTGTATAAAACAAAATTTATGAAGAAAATATATAGAATTTTTTTTTTTTTTTAACTCATATAGAAAAAATTTTATGAAGAGAAATTTGCACGACAAAATAAAACCTTGAATTAAAAAAATCAATCACTCATTTATAGAAAATAAAAACGTTTTCTATAAAAAACAATCAACCACTTGTTATTTTTTTTGCAATTTTAACGTTTACTTCCAGAAAATATATTTTAAGAACCAAAATACAGTAAAACCTCTATAAATTAACAATGTTGGGACCATGATATTTTATTAATTTATACTGATATTAATTTATAGCGTAAATTAATATTTATTAATTTATAGAAAGTTTTGTTTCAATTGTGAAAGCTTTTTGAAAATCATACGAACTAAAGTAATGTGATCTAAATAAAATTAATGTTTTGGATGTTATAACTTTTATAGCTTACACTTAAACACTTAATATTTCGAAGAGCAAATATTTTTTTTTTGACAATGAATAACAACGATTATAGAATTCACATATACAAACGATATACATCAATTAAAAATTCACAAATAGTGACATCCATCGCTGTATTTTAAAAACCTATACAACTATTAAAATAAAATTATGCATATTCAATAATTTGGCTATTTTTATGAAAAAACACTAACAGTCCCTATATATATATATATATATATATATATATATGCTGCAAATTTATATGATTATTAATTTATGATATTATTAGGATTATAATTTTACATAGAGATTTCAAAAAACTTATTATCTTATCGAATTTGGTTAATTTTTACATTAGTCCGACTCAGGGCCGGCAAAATTTATTAATTTATCGTGTTTATTAATTTATCGAGTATTAATTTATAGAGGTTCTACTGTATAACATAAATATATTAAAAATGTTTTACGATTACATATATTAAATTTTTAAAAGTTTAAGGGGAGGACTTGAGTTACTCGTTGCTAGAATTTTGATTTAATATATTATTTATACGAGAACAATGACAAAGAGTAAGAGGGATTTGTAAGAATATAAGACATGAGTTGTTGAAATCATCAAGAGGATTTTGGGCAAAAATATGATAATCACAATCTTGGAGAGCAGCTATGTTTTTCTTTAAATTTTGGTTTTGTTATAGAAATCTAGTTCTAATAGAATTAAAGGAGATCGAATCAAATCTTGCTCGATACTAGCAAATAAACTTGATTATTAGAGATTGACCATAAAAAAAAAAAACAGTTTTGACAATCCGGTCGACCTAAACCTTTGATATGCTACAGGGTCATCAGTGTCATCAATGACTGAGACAACGCCCGAATATTTCCTTCGGATAAAAAAATTATAAGGAGGCAAGTCCCAAGATACTTGGGTTGAAAGGACTGAATACAACCCCAACACTTTCACGTTCATCCAAATTATTATGAACAACTATGTTTGGATTCTGTTTATGAGAATCATTTAGGAGTGGAAGTGTGGTTTGAAAATCTCGGACATGAATATAATCATAATAATTTGGTGGGAAAGCCTACGAGAAGTCGAGAATAGATCATCATGTGTTTAGTGGGTATGTAAGGCTTGTAATAAATACATTCTTATCACATGTTTACAAATGCAAGTTTATGTTAATTATCATATGCTTATTGCCATAGAAGTAGATGAGTCTGTCTAAGGCCTAAGGATTAGCATTGTTAGATTGTTTGAACATCTAGGAATGAGAAAATCAACAAAAAATTAAAATTTTATTTGATATATGACACAAGTAATTCTTGAATATATTTGAATATTTTTATAGAAAGAAATAACAGAAAATAAAAAACTTTTAAAAAACATTAAAGTTCGAATTCTTTTTGAAATACTTTTAACTTTAACATATGTTCTTTTTATAATTTGTCAAAAGATAAGTTAATAAACTATTAAAAGGAAAATTTTAAATTTCAAGTTCCTTTTCATTTTTTCTGACAAGTTTTCTAACCAAGTATGTACGGACTTTGTTGATGCATTCCCTTTACTTCACTTTTTACAACCGATTATTAATATTTAATTAGCATCGGTTGTTATTTTTTTAAATTTTGTATCATTTTAAAAATGATGAAATTCATATATTTTTTTATCAATTTTGTGAAACTGATGCAAATGGATATAGATTTAAGCAAAATTCCATGTCTTGAATTCTCTGGTCCATATTTTCTGTTTATGGGGTTTTCACTTCTAACTGATCTATCTCGTCCATGTCTTGAATTCTCTGTTCCAGATTTTCTCTTTACATTCATATTACTCCTTAAACGGGGCTTGGTCTCTGGATTCAGAAATCGAACAATCAAATCTTGAGCTCTTTCACGTCCAAGCTTGACTGCAGTAGCAAATGCAGCATGATCTGATGGTTTCCGAAGAGGATATTTTGCAATCTCCACTCTCAGAAATCTATCATAAGATCGAATGTCATCATAAACCCTAGCAGCTAGAGCTTCTTCTTCACTAGAATATTCCAAAAAAGCCAAATTTTTATGAAACATAAAAGAACTCTTCACATCGCCACAGAAGCCAAAAATCTTCTCAATCACCGATAGAGAGTGTTTGGGACTGAGATTACTGATAGAACGTTGGAGAAAAAGGGGGAGAATATTCCATTTTCAAAATTTTAATAATTTAGAAATATTGAAGGTTTTGTATAAAACAAAATTTATGAAGAAAATATATAGAAAAAGATTTTATGAAGAGTAATTTGCACGACAAAAATAAAATCTTGAACTAAACAAATCAATCACTCATTTATCGAAAATAAAAATGTTTTCTATAAAAAACAATCAACCGCTTGTTATTTTTTTCCAATTTTAACGCTTACTTCAAGAAAATATACTCTAATACCGAAATATAACATAAAATATATTAAAAATATTTTACGATTACATATATTAAATTTTTAAAAGTTTAAGGGGAGGACTTGAGTTACTCGTAGCTAGAATTTTGATTTAATATATTATTTATATGAGAACAATGACAAAGAGCAAGAGGGATTTGTAAGAATATAAGACATGAGTTGTTGAAATCATCAAAAGGATTTTGGGCAAAAATATGATAATCACAATCTTGGAGAGCAGCTATGTTTTTCTTTAAATTGAGTTGGTTTTGTTATAGAAATCTAGTTGTAATAAAATTAAAGGAGATCTAATCAAATCTTGCTCGATACTAGCACATAAACTTGATTATTAGAGATTGACCATAAAAAAAAATAGTTTTGACAATCCGGTCGGCCTGAACCTTTGATATGCTACATGGTCATCAGTGTCATCAATGACTGAGACAACGCCCGAAGATTTCCTTCGGATAAAAAAATTCTAAGGAGGCAAGTCCCAAGATACTTGGGTTGAAAGGACTGAATACAACTCCAACACTTTCACGTTCATCCAAATTATTATGAACAGTTATGTTTGGACTCTGTTTATGAGAATCATTTAGGAGTGGAAGTGTGGTTTGAAAATCTCGGACATGAATATAATCATAATAATTTGGTGGGAAAGCCTACGAGAAGTCGAGAAAAAATCATTAATGTGTTTAGTGGGTATGTAAGGCTTGTAATTAATACATGCTTATCACATGTTTACAAATGCAAGTTTATGCATGTTAATTATCATATACTTATTGCCATAGAAGTACATGAGTCTGTCTAAGGCCTAAGGATTAGCATTGTTAGATTGTTTGAGCATCTAGGAATGAGAAAATTTAACAAAAAAATTAAAGTTTTATTTGAATATTTTTATAGAACGAAATAACAGAAAATAAAAACTTTTTAAAAACTTTAAAGTTCGAATTCTTTTTGAAATACTTTTACCTTTAACATATATTCTTTTTATAATTTGTCAAAAGATAAGTTAATAAACTCTTAAAAGGTAAAATTTTAATTTCAAGTTCCTTTTCATTTTTTCTGACAAGTTTTCTAACCAAGTATGTACGGACTTCGTTGATGCATTCCCTTTACTTCACTTTTTACAACCGATTATTAATATTTAATTAGCATCAGTTGTTATTGATTTAAATTTTGTATCATTTTAAAAATGATGAAATTCATATATTTTTTATCAATTTTGTGAAAGTGATTCAAATGGATATAGATTTAAGCAAAATTCCATGTCTTGAATTTTCTAGTCCATATTTTCTCTTTATGGGGTTTATACTTCTAGCTGATCTATCTCGTCCATGTCTTGAATTCTCTATTCCAGATTTTCTATTTACATTCAAACTACTCCTCGAACGGGTCTTGGTCTCTGGATTGATAAATCCAACAATCAAATCTTGAGCTCTTTCACGTCCAAGCTTGACCGCAGTAGCAAATGTAGCATGATATCATGGTTTCCGAGGATGATATTTTGCAATCTCCACTTTTAGAAATCTTTCATAAGATCGAATGCCATCATAAACCCTAGCAGCTAGAGCTTCTTTTTCACTAGAATAATCCAAAAAAGCCAAATTTTTACAAAACATAAAAGAATTCTTCACATCGCCACAGAAGCCAAAAATCTTCTCAATTACCGGTAGAGAGTGATTGGGACTGAGATTACTGATAGAGCATTGGGAAAAAGGGAGAGAAGTTTCCATTTTTAAAATTTTAATAAGTTAGAAATATTGAAGGTTTTGTATAAAACAAAATTTATGAAGAAAATATGTAGAAAAAGATTTTATGAAGAGAAATTTGCACGACAAAAATAAAACCTTGAACTAAAGAAATCAATCACTCATTTATAGAAAATAAAAATGTTTTCTATAAAAAACAATCAACCACTTGTTATTTTTTTTTGCAATTTTAACGCTTACTTCCAGAAAATATAATTTAATAACCAAAATATAACATAAAATATATAAAAATGTTTTACGATTACGTATATTAAATTTTTAAAAGTTTAAGGGGAGGACTTGAATTA